CATCGAGTTTAATTAGTTATTGTAGGAAATTTTCGTAGTAACACGTTTTGTATGTAAGGAGGTAAGAGATATGTAAAACACATGACGAAATTAGGCCTTGTCTTAACAACAATCTGCAGATTCTGCCAAGTAGAAGAGGAAACGCCACTACACATCCTATGTAGTTGTAGCCCACTCATGCCTAAACGAAATATCTCCTTTAGAAAGTGTACACTCCATCCTGAAGAGATAAAAACGCTCTTACGAATATCCTTCAATTCTTGTCCCTCACGGTTCTAGGTAGCGAAGTTTGAAAACCGGTGAGCACAATAGACTATGTAGGTCGCAGTGTTACCAGCACTCGCCCCCTATCGTCCGGTGAAGCTGTAAAGGCCAACTGCGGCCAACAGCATTGGAGTAGCCCGAAAAAAAATCTTTTACACACTTTCTTAGTCTTTCTTCTTCTTAGTGTTTATCTTTTTTAGTATTCCAGTAATATAAAGACACTTACCCATTAGCAGTTCTTCTAAACAACGAAACCATATTAACTGTAATCACAACAAAACATTGACAGTGACTTTTATGAAATGCAATAGATCTATGTAGGTCGCAGTGTTACAAGTCTTAGTATCTGACAATAGCCCAAAAGTCCCAATAAAAAAGGGAATAATGTAGTCTTAATGAAATTTTCTAGAAAATATAAATATCATTAATTATTCAAATGTCTGTAGATTAATACGTAGTACAGTGTACATATTTGCCCTTAATTCATAGGGTTATTCAATATCTCACTGCTTTTGTTGCGGTATAGAGATATTCCTTTATTTAGGTTGTGGTTTGTTTAAGCGTACTTGTAATACTATGTAATATTGTGTTATCTGTGGTAATACTATCGATGCACCCCGGCTTTGCACGGGTGTACGATGTACGATGAAACCTTCTGAATGAAATCCTCAAAATTTTGGATAACTTCGTATAACCTTCGTAAAACCGTTACATGCAAGCCGTAAACAGAGGAACAGAATGTCCAGAACAGGGATTTTTTCTAGATATATAATTTTTTTGATTAAGTTTGGGTTACAAAACAAAATAATTTTGTTTTTATTGTTCTATTAATAACTCAACTAACAAATCTACAAAAAGTCCTAATAAGATATGTATATGTTTGTAATGGAATAGAATAAAAATTATATCTATTACTTAATTTTTTTTAAAAATAAGTAGTGTCTATTCCAAAGTGCTCAGTGCTCATCTGAAAGCTTGATCACAAGAAGAACGAGCAAGAAACTTGCGTGGTGCTCTTTTAAACAATTTCATTGTAACTTTCCATTTTTAATTAGATAGTTGTGATTACAAACTACCAATTAGCAGTAATTAAATAAATCAACTGGTTGAGTAAGTAAATAAGAGTAAATTTAAATACTAGTGTAATGTAGGGTATGTACCTTATAAAGTTATGAGGGTGGATCGTTTCGCTTACGGATTATGATCTTTTGTCTGTGAAATGTGAAACTCCGTATAAAGCAGACGTATTACTTACTTATTATATTCCCCATAGTGCTTAAAGACTTATCAATTAGTTTTTAGCAATTCTGTCTCACCAATTTCTACCAAGCAGCTTGCTTTTCTTACAGACATATATTCCGTCATACACGCTTATGTAAAAAGTTTACAATTCAAATTAACCTAAGATTTAAAATTCGAGTAAATCGATACATTTTATGAATAGTATAATATATAAAAGCAACTTGCCTATCATCATCTGCTTCTTCCGTATCCCATTTATTTGGGGTCGGCGTAATATGTTTTTCGCTTCCATTCATCCCTGTTCGCAGTCATCGCGTTATTTACTTCCTTTCTTACCATATCATCTTTCACACAGTCCATCCATCTCTTTTTTGGCCTTCCGCTGCCCTTATAACCATCCACATTCATTTGTAACATCTTTCTTAAAATATTATCCTCGTTCCTACGCATTACATGTCCATACCATGATAGACGATTACTCTTCAACCTCTCTGACACCGGTGCCACTTTCATACTAAAAGCAACATAAAAGCAACTTGCTTAATAAACTCCATTTGAAATATGAGGAGATGACAGGGATTTTAATATTACTACGGATTTTATTTTTTTTCACGATTTTGATCACGATGGTGCCAATAAAGCGTAACCTATCAGTAAATGATTACCTGTGGACACTTGAAACACCAAGGGTGTCACCTGCGTATGCCGTATTATCACCAGCAGACAATTCTATTTACCCGTTTTTTTAGTCTTTCTTCTTCTTAGAGATTATCTTATTTGGTATTCCAGTAATATAAAGACACTTACCCATTAGCAGTTCTTCTAAACAACGAAACCATATTAACTGTAATCACAACAAAACATTGACAGTGACTTTTATGAAATGCAATCGATAGATTGTTATCTCCATGGAACTTCACCATTGTTTGATAATAATTATGAATAGTTCACTAAATATAGCCGTGGAGTTGAAATTGATTTTATCTCTTCATATCGTGGTGCGAGTAGATAATATTATGGGATTACACGAAAACATTGATGTATTTTGTACAAATATGTACTAGAGAACATAGTTAAGTATGCTGTGAGGAGAAATGCATTCCCGCTTTTTTGGAAGTATTTGTTGATCGCAGCTGACGTTTACAGCTTCACCGAACGATAGGGGACGAGTGCAGATGGCATTCCATACCAGCGGAAGTACTTATGGAGCGGTTGAAGACTCAACTCTTGCCTAAAGGACACGACCTTAGTCTGAGGGCACCGCTAGTGATTTGAACCTCAGCTCAGGCCCTCGTCATTTCGATCCCTGCTTGAATTGAGGAATCGATCTTGAAAATACCTATGGCATATTTTACGCAACTTTGTTATTCTCAAGTACATTATTGCAATATCTAGTAGGTATGTTTTGTTTATGTAATTAAAATGGCAAACAAGCTGATAGTCCATCTGATGGTAATTCGTAACCGTCTCCAATGTACATACGAGTACATGGACAGTAATACGTATAACATGTTATCATGTGACAACGGAGATATCACTCATGTCTAGCTGTTGCTTACGTCTGGCCGTATTTTTATACTGAACTGGAGGTTGCGTGTATACGTGGGCCTCGAAAGGCCCGCGAGGCATCGTCTTGGTTGTGTTGAATAGTCTTGTTTGGGAAGAACATGTTTATTTTTTATCCGATACGATACGATACCATTTATATAAATTTATTTTCTAAGAGCCAATCTAATTTAATCACCTTTCTGTATACTATGTTAGACTGAGATTACAGTTTTTAATGTAGAGAATATTAAACGAAACGTGACCTAAGCGACATTCTGTATACTATATTAATGTGGGGTCGCAATATCTAATGTACAGGTCATACAAATCAAATTTACATTGTATTTTCGATTAAGAATTGTATTATATATTTTTGTATAGAGAACGATTTAGTCTAATAAGAAATGTAACAGACAACAACACCTAGCCATTCTAAAGGATCAGGGTGTTATGCCTCTTATCCTGTAATTTCACTGCCTAATTGCACCCTACTACCAAAACTAACAGCAAAACACGACCCAAGCTGCTCGGCGGCTGATGACGGTGATGCTAACGCAGACGACGTTTTACATTCTACCTCTGGCAATATCATTGCAGTGTGAGAGACTGAGTTTGGCGTCTTCTCTATCACGTCAGTACAAAATAGCTCAATGGTCGTTAAAGATATATATTATTTAGTGACTGTCAAGGGCGTGAGTCGGAACAAAATTGATATAATGACTTTAATATTTTGATATTTAACCAATAAACTTTGCATATAGCACTAGAATATTCAGTAATATACTATTTACTGAATGTTCTAGTGCTATATGCACGGACAACACAGCTAAATTCTTAACAGAACATTATATGCAATATTATTTTTACTTTTCAAATGATAGAAAACATCGCAATCATTTAATCAATCAGCTCAGATCAATTCACCGGTAGATTGTTTCATTACTTTCATTTGCCCAAATCGAATAAGCGAAGAACATAACACCATACTGCCTAATCACAAATGTGAGTCTTGAGTCAAGAATTATTATGTTTTCCGTAGAATATCCATGATATTAATACAGAAAAGTATTATTAAAATTATTTTTTCTGTATTAATATATATAATTTTGTTAAGCAATTTATTCAAACTTATAATTTAAATTAATTATGGCTGAATATGGATAACATTGCGACCACTAGTCTATATAATAATACGAAAAGCAAAAACTATGTACATCTTTTTACGAAATGTATAAATTATAAAATTATAAATGTGCAAAACATAATCCTCCGTCAATTTGTTAAAACGTTTATGCTTTACATCTTCTACATATATAGAAATTATTTGTTGTTCGTTAGTCTCGTTAAAACTCGAGAACTGCTGAATAGATTTGGCTAATTTTAGCGTTGAAATATTCGTGGAAGTCCAGGGCAGGTTTAAAGAGTTATAAAATATGAAGAAATTGCATGTAAAATAGTAAAAACAACAATTATATTTTCCCATACAAACGGCCGATACCTATCATATAGGCTGCGTTCAGAAATTTATTGCGTAACTAAACTTAAAAAAACCTTTGGCATATTTAATTTTGAGGCGAAACGTTGTTCGCGGGGTCAGCTAGTATTTAATATATAGATGAATGAATGATGAATAATTTACTGTGTCTACACGTCGCGAAAAGAAATGACCGAGTCAATTCACGCATGCGCTGTACCGCCCGGCTTTTAGTCACATAACCTCAAATTACAGAAATTTTAAATAGAAACTAGCGATGATATTATAGTTGTTCCATATATTTTTTTAATAAGTATAACACGAGTGTTGAGTGCTAAATGAATTCTTTGACATTATCTAGCTGTTTTATTAATTACAATTATCCATACTGTTAATTTTGATGCGGCTTGTTTTAATAAATTTAAATTACCTGTAGTAAGTTAATTAGTTTGATACCGTAAAAGTGAGAGACATTTCCATATTTGTGTCAGAAAGTGTTCGTTAAGTGATAACTAGTGTTAAATAAAGTAGTAATCAAGTTATTAAACAGGTAAAGAAACAGCTGTTTCTATGGACACATTTGTAGGTTATGTTTTCAAATGTCACTATTTCGATTGGTTTAGGATAGGTGAAAAATTATCATCCTACTATATAAATGTTCAAAAAGGTATCTATATATTTGTAACTAGCTGTACCCGTAACTTTGTCGGCGTGGAAATGAACTTTATTTTTCTAAAATAAAATTTGCCTAAGTTACTCCTTATTACATCAGCTACCTGCCAAAAAAAATCCCGTCAAAATCGGTCCAGCCATTTCTGAGATTAGCCGGAATAAACAGACAGACAAAAAATGTAAAAAATGTTATTTTGGTGTATGTACCTTGTTTATATTCATATGAATGTAGTAAAAACGGTTAATTCAATATTGCAAACAGACACTCCAATTTTATTTATATGCATAGATATATCTAAATATACATAACTCAAACTCGACTGACATAGTGATTTATCAACGCACAGCCCAAACCACTCCACGGATCGGGTCTGAAATTTGGTAGTCTGAAATTTGCAAGTAGATGTTATGACGTAGGAATCCGCTAAGAAAGGATTTTGATAAATTCCACCCCTAAGGGGATAAATTAACGCGACCGAAGCCGCGGGCAAAAGCTAGTGTATAATAAAACTATCTATTTAGATTACATATTGGCGCATTTATATATTCACATAAAGAAAAACAGTCATCGTAATCCAACGCGCCACATTTTGGAAATGTACCCAAGATACTGGCAGCGTTGCCTCTTTGAATAGCCATACTGACTGGAGTGAATAGGTAGAAAGGACAAAAGGAGCTCACCGGTGAATTCTTTCTTCGACTTCTCCCGATGATTCTCGGCGCTGGTTCTATTTTCTATTCACCAAGACTAATATTTTTATAATGTTTTTCTTAAAACTTCTTGATTAACAGACACAACACATTACGGATTATTCACACTTTATGCGTTTATTGTATAATAGTTTTGTACAGGCGAATAGCGAATTGAGCAGCGTTAGCGATGGCGGCCGGCGGTGAACTTGAACTTGAACTAACTGGGCGGAAGTCGTCTTTCTATTTCTTCTTGTCCTTTGACATGTTGCATGGTTTCAGGAAGTAGGACAAGGAAGGACATACATGGGATGAGTATGCGTGAGTGAGACAGATATGCAAATTAAAAGGCGCGCTTATGTTTCTATTATATTGGTAGTTAAAAATGAATGAACGAGATGCGCGGCTGCGTGTGAGTGAAATAGAGTATTGATCGAACTATCGCTGCGTAAGGAAAGTATAGGTAAAAATGAAATAATGTTACGTTTCGGCGTAAACAACTTCCCTGGCCTAGAGGTTTTCCTCTAAACAAAGTAAGTTAATTGAATGCGGTAATTAAGTAAAATTAAAATAAAATAAGCGAACGAAAAAAAAAAAAATGCATGCGTATAAGAAAATTAATTGTATTACTGGAGAGGCAAGGGGCAAATCCTAACTACAGGTCGAATATAAGTTCCTGACAAAGTTTTAACGCGCACAGTACGAACGATATTATCTTTACCAGGATAAAGTTCATCAATAACACCCAGAGCCCAGCATAGTGGATGCGTATTATTATCTTTAATTATGACAACCATACCCCGATGAACAGGTGTAGATGGTGTATTCCACTTTTGTCTTTGCTGAAGGGAAGTGAGGTACTCTTGACTCCACCTCCGCCAGAAAGACTGCGTTATTTTATTCAGTAATTGATAGCGAGTAAGGCGATTATCAGCGTATTCAACATAATCCTCGGCGGGTAAAAATTTTAAGGGCGTGACGTTTAAAAAATGGTTAGGAGTAAGTGCGGCTAAATCAGACGGATCAGAACTCAACACACAAAGCGGTCTACTATTTAGTAATCCTTCTATCTGCACTAATACGGTATTGAACTCCTCGTAGGTGAGTATATGTGTACCTATTACTTTATTCAAATGTGTTTTTACACAACGGACATTAATTTCACACAAACCATTAAAATGCGGACCATATGGCGGACTATGTTTGAACTGAATACGTTGTTGGGAAAGTTGATCACCTATGTAATTTATATGAGCTTTAGAATGCAAAAGAGTGTAAATATTATCTAATTTACGCTTAGCGCCAATGAAATTGGTACCACCGTCACTATATATCATTGCGACAGGGCCTCTGCGTGATATAAAACGTTTAAACGCTGCTAAAAATAGATCTGAACTTAAGTCTGTGACCAATTCTAAATGTAATGCCTTTGTCGTTAAACAAACGAACAAACAGATATATGCCTTTTGACTTTTAATACCTCTGCGGCGTATATGCGTAATAAAAAATGGACCTGCGTAGTCCACTGCTGTGTGAACGAAAGCTTTCACCTCAGAAATGCGAAAAGCGGGAAGATCACCCATGGGGGGATAATTATTTTTAGGATTTATCTTAAAACATATATTACAGGCATGAACTCTCTGACGAATTAGATTGCGAGCGGATAATATCCAAAATTTTTGTCTAATTAAAGCGAGTAACAAAGCGGGACCAGTGTGTAAATTAGAGATGTGAAAATAATCAACAATAAGTTGAGTTAAGCGATCCTTATAAGGGAGGAGAATGGGGTATTTTTGATCACAATTAAGCTGTGATTGAGATAGCCTACCTCCAACTCTAAGTATGTTATTGTCATCAATGAAGGGATTTAATTTTCTAAGCGGTTTGTTATTACAAATATTATGTTTTTTAAGAGATAAAATATCTTGAGAAAAATGTTTATTTTGAATGAAGCGTATAATATATAATTCCGCGGTATCTAAATCTGTTCTACTTATAGTGCCTCGGGTGCATAAATGTTTCGTAAAACGTAATATATAAACAGTTGTACGTAAAAGTTTCGAATAACTCGAATAGCGGTCAATGATAATTTGCATAGGATTATTATTTTCATTATTAATTATATTTGCTTTTAATGAAGTGGTTTTAGTCTCCGGTATACTTTCGTCAGAACATGAATTTAATTTAAATTGAGTTATAGGCCAGTCCTTTAGTGGCAGAGAAATCCAAGGAAGGGCACAAAACCAGATTTTATTATTAAATAATTCCTTCGGCGTTACAGGGCGTGATATTATATCTGCGGGATTTTCTTTACCGTCGATGTGAAACCAATGGGAAGCGGCAATTTTTGAATTAATTTCAGTTATTCTATTCGCTACAAATGTATGAAACTTATAGGCGGGAGAATGAATCCATGTGAGTGTTACGGTTGCGTCTGAAAATGCGAATATCTTGTCTATATGACAGCGTTTAGATAGTACCTCATGAACTGCGGAGAGGAGATTAGCGAGTAATAAGGCGGCGCAAAGTTCAAGGCGTGCGAGAGATATCTTTTTTAATGGAGCAACGCGAGACTTAGAAGAAAGGAGATGGACAACACCGTCAGAGTGGACATCATTACTCACTCTGATATAAACAACGGCGCCATAACAGGACTCACTAGCGTCTGCGAATCCGATAAGAGTTACATGTGAGTTGCGTGTTATACCTACATGACGAGGAATTTCAATCTGTTCCAAAAATAGAAGTTCAGATTGAAACTTCAACCATTTATTAGATATGGAGGATGGGGTAGGTGCATCCCAGTCCAGATTGTTCATCCAACATTCCTGAACTAGAAGCTTTAAAAACGCGGTAATCGGGCCTAGCAATCCTAATGGATCGAATAAACGTGCGGTTACAGAGAGAATAGTGCGTTTGGTACATTGTGATGAATCTGTACTTATTTTATATTTAAAATTATCCTCTTTAGGATTCCATTGCATACCTATAATTTTTGTATTTGCGTTTGAGTCACAGTCAAATGTTACAAATTGCGGATTTTTATGCGAATTGTCTACTTTGGTCATAAATTCCTTACAGTTGGACACCCATTGTACTAATTTAAATCCACCCGAAGAAAACATATTAATCATCTCTTGATATGTTTTTTCGGCTGCATCCAGATCATCTAATGACGATACATAATCATCCATATACATGTGATTATCAGCCTCGTGGGCGGCGAGAGGATATTCAGTGCGACTATCTGAAGCCAGTTGTCTCACAACCCTCATCGCGAGAAAGGGAGAACTAGAGACTCCGAATGAGACTCTGTTAAATTCATAAGTTTGTATATTAGTTTCAGTATTGAATCTAAAAAGTATGCGTTGAAATGGTTGATGATCAAACGTGAGTTTAATACAGAAATACATTCGTTCTATGTCAGCCGTTACACCAATAGCAAACATGCGTAAATTCATCAACAAATCAAAAATATTAGTTTGTAAATTACAACCTGTATAAAGTATGTCGTTCAGTGATAAACCGGACGTGGTCTTACAACCAGCGTTGAGGACTATGCGTGTTTTTGATGTCTGTTTATCAGGGCGATAAACAGCTCTGTGCGGAATATAATAATGTTCAGAGTCGTATGTAGGATTTTTTACTATACTTAAATACCCTTTATCAATATAATCTTGAATTGTGGAGTTATAATCTTTACGTAGATCGGGCTGTGAATCTAATTTCTTTTCCAATTGTAAATACTGACGTTTTGCAATAGCGTATGAATTTCCTAATTTCGAAGGCGGTAATTTAAATGGTAAGTGAACGGTATATTGACCTTTATTATCTCGAGAATAAGTCGATTTAAAATTGTTTTCACAAATCTCGTCGTCTTTACTCATATGCGTTTTAGAGGGAACACTTTCTAACTCCCAGAAGCGTTGTGTAAGAGTATCAAGCGGAAGCGGGTCGGATTGACAGAAAAATAATTTGTCATTATTTGAAAGCATACTATTCTGAGAAGGAGAGTCGCAGTCAGCCTTTCCCATGACTATATAACCGAGTGTAGTCTCTAAACCAATAACTGATGAAGTAGGTGATGTCACTTTATCACTACCAAGCAGTATAGGGAACAACTCATTGCCCACAAGACAGTCAACACTGCCAGGTGAGTAGAAATCATCATCAGCGAGCGGTAAAGAT